CACCGATTATACCTCAATAACGTGGGTTTACCAATAAATGTAACTCGGCCCTGAGCAGTTGCTCATGCCTGTCATCTTAGCACTTTGGGAGGCCGAGGCGGATGGATTCGGTGAGCTCAGGTGTTTGACACCAGCCTGGGCCACACGGTGAAACCCCGTCTCTACTAAAATACAAAAAATTAGCCAGGCAGAGCGGCACACTCCTGTAATCCCAGCTACTTTGAAGGCCGAGGAGGGAGAATTGCTAGAACCTGGAAGGCACAGGCTGCAGTGAGCCAAGACGGTGCCACGGCACTCCAGCCTGGGCAGCAGAGCGAGAGTCCATCTCAGCTCACTCACTCACTCACATGGCTTCAGCAAGAGAAGTGCAGCAGGGAGCGGGGAGCGCATGGGTGGGGGGAGCAAAGGGGAGGGGGGAGCGCAGGGGTGGGGGGAGCGCAGGGGCGGGGGGGGGAGCGCAGGGGCGGGGGGGGAGCGCAGGGGCGGGGGGGGGAGCGCAGGGGCGGGGGGGGGAGCGCAGGGGCGGGGGGGGGGAGCGCAGGGGCGGGGGGGGGGAGCGCAGGGGCGGGGGCTGTGAGGCCTCCAGGCCCGGGCCCCCTGGCCTCCCATGCCTGGGCTCAGTAGTGGCCTGGATTTCACAACCCCTCCTGGTGATAGGCGACATAGCAGCTCCCCAACTGCAGGCTTCCCCCGCGCCACCCCCCCCCCACCCCGCCCGCAACATCCAGGAAGAGAGGGAGAGAGAGGAGGGGGAGAAGGAAGAGGGGGAGGGGGTGAGGGGACGCAGGGAGACAGAACACAGAAGTGAAATGTAAATATTTGGAAAATCAGAGTATCTGGGAATGTTCTGAGCAACTTTCCTGTAAGTCTGAAATTATTTCAAAATTTAAAAAATGAGGAGCCGGGGCTGTGGCTCACGCCTGTAATCCCAGCTGCTCAGGAGGCCCAGGCAGAAGAAGCGCTTGACCCTGGGAGGCGGAGGCTGCAGTGACCCAAGATTGTGCCATTGCACTCCAGCCTGGGAAACACAGCAAGAATCTGTCTCAAAAAGAAGAAAGAAAGAAAGAAATGAGAAGAAAGTGACATTTCTTGCATCACATTTGCGTTTTGCATGTGTGTGTGTGTGTGTGTGTGTGTGTGTGTGTGTGAGAAGGGGGCAAGCTTTGGACCTACCTCATTTATTTTTCACCAACTAGCTAATGGGCAGCAAGGCAAGGCCTTACCGCCGTTCCCTGGCCCTCCCCAGGGCTCCAGGTAACCCAGCTCCGAGCTCTCAGCGCGCCCCCCCGCCTCTGCCTGGCCTCCTGTGCAGCGGACGTCACTCCCTCCTCCTCCTCCCTCCTTCCCAGCAAAGCCATTCACACCTTCCCGTCAGTTTGTCTCCTAAAAGCTTTCCCCTCCCCTGCTCCCCTGCCCACTCCTCCTCCTGGTCATCACTGTCTGGATGAGGAGTGAGGGACTTAGAGCAGGCGTCCCCAGACTTTTTACACAGGGGGCCCGTTCACTGTCCCTCTGTCCCTCACACCGTTGGAGGGCCGCCACATTCTGTGCTCCTCTCGCTGACCACCAATGAAAGAGGGGCCCCTTCCTGAAGTGCGGCGGGGAGGAGGGCCGGATAAATGGCCTCAGGGGACCGTAGTTTGGGGACGCCTGACTTAGAGAAACAGCAGAGAGGGGTTCAGGAGCCCATGAGCTTGTCTGTCATTCCCCACGTCTTCTTCTCACTCCATCCCTGTCCTGGGGGGCAGGGGTCTCCGTTTTCCCTTGGGATGATGGCTAAGGGCTACAGGGATGTGTAAAGACAGGACCAAGATACAAGTGGCAGCCACAGCCCCACAGAATGCTGGCGGAGAGGAGCAGACAGAACCCAGCCGGGGCCAGGCCCTCCCTCCGTCCCTTTGAGAGCAAAGGGTCAGGCCAGGAGTGAAAGCTCTTCCAGGATCATTTCCTCTGGAAAGCAGCTGATGTCAGGGCAAAGAGAGCGCGTGCTGCAGAGTCAGATAAATCAACACACACGATGGAGGAGAAATGCAGCAACAACCCTTTGTTTTTTGTTTTTTGAGGTGGAGTTTTGCTCTTGTTGCCCAGGCTGCAGTGCAGGCGCGATCTCGGGTCACTGCAACCTCCCCCTCCCAGGTTCAAGCAGTTCTCCTGCCTCAGCCTTCCCAGTAGCTGGGATTACAGGCACGCACCACCACACCTGGCTCATTTTGCATTTTTAGTACAGATGGGGTTTTGACATGTTGGTCAGGCTAGTCTCGAACTCCTGACCTCCGGTGACCCGCCTGCGTTGGCCTCCCAAAGTGCTGGGATTATAGGCGTGAGTCACCGCACCCAGCCTGCCACACTCTTTCTTTGTTCGCCCAGCAAGTATTGAGTGAGCTCCAGGCACTGCTTTAGGGGCTGCTGTGGGGTTTCCCATCGGTGGTGGTGTTGACTTTGGGGGCTGGGTCCTTCTCTGAGCCCTGTGGGACGCCGAGCCACGCCCCCAGCCTCCACCCACGAGATGCCGAGAGTCCCTCCCAAGTCCCAAATACAAATGTCTTCAGACTTGGTCACTTGTCCTGGGGTGAGGCTGGGGTAACACTGGGGCAGAGAGTCACTCTCGGTTGAGAACTTCTGGGCGAGGGACACAGCCATGAACAAGGCACAGCTGACACCGCTCACGGGGTCTCCTCTAGCCGGGGTCACGGGGAGATGGACAACTCACAAGAAAGAAACAAACAGGGTCCACCGTGCAAGATAGAAATGCAAGTCAAAGCGGGAGCTGCAGAGGGCTGGAGGGACTGCCGGGGGCGGAGGGGAAGGCAGGGCTGCAGAGACGCCAGGTGCCAGTGGAGACAACCCGGGAAGACACGTGCCAAGGCCCAGACGCAGACAAGGGGGAGGGAGGGGAGCCGTGGAATAGCAGCAAAGCCTGAAACGCCACAGCTGGAACATAAAGGGGCAGAGAAAGAGGGGGAAGAGCAGGGTCTACCAAGGGAAACTGAGGCACGGCCGCTTTTTTTTTTTTTTCTTTCCATGATGAGATGTCTATCTTGACCTCAGAGACCAGCTATTGAAATCCCCTGGGGTGGGGCACAGTGGCTCACGCCTGTAAATCCCAGCACTTTGGGAGGCTGAGGTGGGTGGATCACCTGAGATCATGAGTTCAAGACCAGCTTTGCCAAAATCATGAAACCCCTGCCTCCTACTAAAAATACACAAATCAGCTGTGTGTGGTGGTGTAGTCCTGGCTACTCCGGAGGCTGAGGCAGGAGCATCGCTTGAACCCGGGAGGCAGAGGTTGCAGTGAGCAGAGATCATGCCGCTGCCCTCCAGCCTGGGGGACAGATGGAGACTGTCTCAAAAAAAAAAAAAAAAAAGAAAAAAGAAAAAAAAGCAAGCCCCTGGAGTGGATGACTCTTCCGCACCTGCTTCCTCTCCACCTCTTCACTCCCTCTCCCCGCTTCCTCCTCATCCCCTCCCTTCCCCCCTCCCTTGTATTGTCTCCTCGGGAGGCATCAAAGCCCAGGGGGTGTACGAGAGTCCAGGCGCCGGAGCCAGGAGCCAGAGGGAGCTTGGGGAGCAGCCAGCTGCAGCGAGGTGAGAGCCTGGGCCCGGGCGGCCGAGGGCTGGGGGGAGTGAGGGGCTCCTGGGAGAGTGATGGGGGGCGCGAAGGGATGGGGACAACAGGAGAGATGGCAGCACTGGGGACAGGGAAAAGGTGAGGGGCAGGTACAGGGACGGAAAGGTTTGAAGATGGAGCGGAGGACGCAGTGGCGCAGAAGGCGTGGGTGCTGGGGGCAGCCGGACCGTCCGGTGCTGGGGACGGAGGGGTTCATTCCCCTGGATTTCCTTTTCTTTCTCTCTCTCTTTTTCTTTCCTTTCGTTTCTTCTTTCCTCTTTCTTCTTTCATTTTCTTTTCCCTCCCTCCCTCCCTCCCTCCCCTCCCCTTCCCTTTTCTTTTCTTTTTGGGACAAAGTCTCACTCTGTTGCCCAGGCTGGAGTTCAGTGGCATTATCTCGGCTCACCGCCACCTCCACCTCCCAGGTTCAAGCGATCCTCCTGCCTCGGCCTCCCGAGGAGCTGGGACTACAAGGCACGCGCCACCACGCCCGGCTAATTTTTGTATTTTTAGTACAGACAGGGTTTTGCCATGTTGCCAGGCTGGTCTCCAACTCTCGACCTCAGGCGATCTGCCATCCTCAGCTGCTCAAAGTGCTGGGATTGCAGGTGTGAGCCACTGCACCTGGACTCCCCTGGAGTTCTTAAGCTGGGGTCATTCCTGCGTCCTGGTCTTTTTGTTTGTTTGCTCTATTTTACGTTCCCAGCATCCCATCTTTGCTTGATTCACCATTTTCCCCTCAACCAACTCTCGTTTCACCTACATACATGTATTTCGAAACGAAGTTTCATAAAAACTTCAACAAAGGTGGAAGTGCGGCCGGGTGCAGTGGCTCATGGGCAGATCCCTGGAGGTCAGGAGTTCGAGACCAGCCTGGCCAATGTGGTCAAACCTCCGTCTCTCCTAAAAATACAAAAATTAGCCGGACGTGGTGGTGGGCGCCTGAAATCCCAGCTACACAGGAGGCTGAGGCAGGAGGATCGCAGTGAGCCAAGATCATGCCATTGAACTCTAGCTTGGGCAACAGGAGGGAAACTCCATCTCAAAAACAAAACAAAACAAAACAAAAACCACAAGGGAGGGGAGATTGCAGGTGAAGGGTCCTACCCAAAAGGAAATCATCCAAGAGCACCGGGCATTTCTAGAGGTGATGAATAGATCTTAGCTCTGTGGTTGTGGCAATGACATCACGGCTGTCTGCACACGTCCCAACTCCTCAGGATGTATACATTAAATATGCATCATTTTTGTATCTCAATGATGCCTCCATAAAGCTAAAAATCAAATTCCTCTGTCCTTATCGGAAATGCACCTGGCCCCCAATTTGGAAAATGAGTGGTCACTCTCTCCTTGCAGTGTTCTGCGGCTGTAGGCACCTGTCACCCTGGCCTCGATGGCTCCCTCCGCCCCCCTGGCCCTCCTCCTGGTCCTCTTGCTGAGCCTGGCAGAGACTCCAGCATCCGCGCCTGCCCACCAGGTAGGTAATGCCTCCGCCTCCCTAAGCACCTCGGAAACAATGCCATCCCCAAATCCCTGCCCTCTGGGGAGAGTTTTAAAAAATGTTTCTGGCTTGCATCAGGGGTCCTGGAGAAGAAGCTGAAGTCCCGAAACTATGAGAAGAAAGACAGACACTGACTTCATCTTGGCTCTGGGGATAGAACAGAGAGTATGGGTGAAAAATACAAGGTCAGGGTTCAGGGCGCTCAAAGCTAAAACCTCCTCACACCAAGCATTGCCCAGAAATGCAAAAATATGCCTTCGGAGGCAGCTTCCTGTCACTCCTGTTTTTCAGCACCTCAGGATGTGTGAGAAGTAGCTAGAAGGCAACTTCAAGTAATACTGGGACCCTTCAGCCGGGTTGGGTGCCGCACACCTATAATCCCAGCACTTTGGGAGGCCGAGGCGGGCAGATCACCTGAGGTCAGGAGTTCGAGACCAGTCTGACCAATATGGTGAAACACCGTCTCTAATAAAAATATGCAATATTAATTAGCTGGACCTGGTGGCGCGTGCCTGTCATCCCAGGTACTTGGGAGGCTAAGGCAGGAGAATGTCTTGAACCCAGGAGGCGGGGGTTCCAGTAGCTGAGATCGCACCATCGCACTCCAGCCTGGGCAGCAAGAGTGAATTGCTGTTTCAAAAAAGAAAAGAAGAAGAAGAAAAAGTAATACTGGGACCCACCCCCAGGTTTCTAGTTGGGTGGGTACAGGGTAGGAGCTAGTTCTGGGATCACACTTTGTTGTTGTTGATTTTTTGTTTGTGTGTTTGTTTGAGATGGAGTCTCTGCCACCCAGGCTAAAGTGCAGTGGCTTGATCTCGGCTCACTGCAACCTCTACCTCTGAGGTTCCAGCAATTCTCCTGCCTCAGCCTCCCAAGTAGCTAGGATTACAGGTGCCTGCCACCACGCCTGGCTAATTTTTTGTATTTTTAAGAAGAGATGGTGTTCCACCGCGCTGGCCAGGCTGGTCTTGAACTCCTGACCTCCTGGCTTCAAGCGATCCGCCCACCTTGGCCTCCCAAAGCACTAGGATTACAGGTCTCAGCCATCGCACCCAGCCTGGGGCGACACTTTGAAAACCTCTGATTGCATACCTCCACAGTGTGGGCTGTTGATGCTGGGTTGAGTTTGAAATCCGGGAATCTGCAATTTTCTCGCTGTGTGACTTCAGGCACGTTGCGTAACCTCTCTGGTCTCTGAATGGATCTTCTTCGTCCAGTTCCAGCACTATAAAAGTTAACGGCGTTAACTCAGATGGCAGACAGCTCTCATTATTTAGCCGACAGGAGTAAATAATTAAGAGATGTTGGTCTGGGGATACACCGTTTCAGTTGGATGGGAGAAATGAACATGGTGGCTGTTGTTAACAACAATGTGTTGTATACTTGAAAACTGCTAAGAGAGTAGATGGATGTTCGGTGTTCCTGCCACAGAAAGGACAAGCACATGACGTAATGCAGGCGGCAATGAACTTGATGGAGCCACTCCACAATGTGGACGTTATTTCCACACATGTTGTGCACCATGCCTGGATTTAAAAGGCAAATTTTCTCTGCCAATTAAAAAAAAAAAAAAAAGAGTCCAGGCACAGTGGTTCACCCCTGTAATTCCAGTACTTTCAGTGGCTAAGACTAGAGGATTGCTTGAGCCCAGGAATTGGAGACCAGCCTGGGCAACACAGTGAGACCCTCTATCACTTAAAAAAAAAAAAAAAATTAATGGCCTGGTGTGATGGCTCACGCCTGTAATCCCAGCACTTTGGGAGGCCAAGGCAGGTGGATCACAAGGTCAACAGATTGATACCATCCTGACTAACACCGTGAAACCCTGTCTCTACTAAAAATACAAAAAAAATTAGCTGGGTATGCTGGTGGCCACCTGTCGTCCCAGCTACTTGGGAGGCTGAGGCAGGGGAATCACTTGAACCCAGGAGGTGGAGGCTGCAGTGAGCTGAGACTGCGCCACTGCACTCCAGCCTGGGTGACAGAGTGAGAGTCTATTTAAAAAAAAAAAAAAATTAGCTGGGTATGGTCGTGTGTGACTGTAGTCCCAGCTACTCAGGAGGCTGAGGCATGAGAATTGCTTGAGCTCAGGAGGTTGAGGTTGCAATGAGCTGAGATGGTGCCGCTGCCCTCCAGCCTGGGCGAAAGAGCAAGACTCCGTGTCAAACAAAGAAATGACAAACAAACAGAAAAAGGACAGAAAAGAAAGAAAGAAAATCAAAGAAAGGAAAGGAATGCTGACCACTGCCACTAGAGAGGGGACCCAGGCTTGGCACCCGCTGCCCTGAGCTGGGACAGCAGCTCTCCTCTGTGCTGGCTGGGTCCTTGCCAGGGTATTTATTTCTCTGAACCCTCTTTTTTCCCATATAACTAAGGGATAACGGAATCCATCCTGTAGGGATGTTCAAGGAGTTTTGACAAGAGCTGATGGGCGTTGGCATTGCCTGAAACCCTTGATGTGCATTAGCTAATTTGACCCGCAATCCTTTGCCATTGTTTCTATTTTGCTACTTCCCATCTTACACGGTGGAACACCGTAGCGAAAATATTTGGTGCACATCCTCCTCAAGAGTCTGGACTCTACTGGCCTCACACGAGTGGAGGCTCAGGCTTGTAATCCCAGCATTTTGGGAGGCTGGGGCGGGCAGATCACCTGAGGTCAGGAGCTGGAGACCAGCCTAGACGACGTGGTGAAACCCCGTCTCTATTAAAAATACAAAAATTAGCTGGACATGGTGGCAGGTGCCTGTAGTCCCAGCTGCCTGGGAGGCTGAGGCAGGAGAATCACTTGAACCTCGGAGGCCGAGGTTGCAGTGAGCCGAGATAGCACCACAACACTCCAGCCTGGGCGACAGAGCGAGGTGTGAGACTCTACCTCAAAAAAAAAAAGTGTCTGTAATCTCTTTGGGTTTGAGTCCAGGGTGTGCTACTTAGCCTGTTGCAATTTGCTGAATCTTTCTGGGCCTCAATAGCTTCTTTCTAGTGAAGCTAATAGTAAAAGTTTTACCTACCAGGGTTGCTGGGAGGATTGCTAAATAAATATGTTAAGAGCCGGGAACTACAGCTGGGCTGCCGGGCATGCAACCTGTGGGGTTCCCTGGGTCCCGAGCTTGGTTGACTGTTCTTTTGTCACCAGCTTGAAATTCTAAATCCTTTTTTGAAGAATGGGCCCCATATTTTCTCTTTGCACTGGGCCCCACAGATTCCGTAGCCAGTCCTGCTTAGAATAGATGCTGGCATCGCGTAAGCCCACAGTAAATGTTGGGCAATATCATTCTCAAAGGGACTTGATCTATGAGCATATCCTACACAGGTAAAGAATTTACAGCGGTGCTTCTTTAAGCTTTATTATGGTATAATTAATACGCAAAAGATGGCTGGATGTGGTGGCTCCTGCCTAAGATCCCAGCACGTTGGCAGGGTGAGGCAGAAGGATGGCCTGAAGTCGGGAGTTTGAGACCAGCCTGAGCAACATGGAGAAACTCTCTCTACTAAAATTACAAAATTAGCCAGGCATGGTGGTACATGCCTATAATCCCAGCTACCCAGGAGGCTGAGGCAGGAGGATCACTTGAACCTGGGAGGTGGATGTTGTGGTGAGCTAAGATCGCACCATTGTACTCCAGCCTGGGCAGCAAGAGCAAAACTCCATCTCTAAAACAAAAAATTACAAAAAATGCACACACTGAACGTAAACATCTTGATAAGTCTGGAGCTATGCATACAGCCGTGACACCATCACTGCAGCCAAGGCACTGAATGTATCCATCACCACCTCCAGAAACGCCCCTGTGTTCTTGTGTGTTTGTGGATGTTTTGGTGAGAACACTTATCGTGAGATCTAGTTTCATATTTTTATTCACTTATTTATTGAGACAGGGTCTTGCTCTGTCACCCAGGCTGGAGTGCAGGGGTTCGATCATAGCTCACTGCGGCCACAAACTCCTGAGCTCAGGCGATCCTCTTACCTACAGGTGCATGCCACCATGCCTGGCTAATGTTTTATATTTTTTATTTTATTTTAGTTTTTGAGACAAAGTCTCACTCTGTTGCCCAGGCTGGAGTATAGTGGTGCAATCCTAGCTCACCGTAACCTCCACCTCCCGCATTCAAGCAATTCTCCTGCCTCAGCCTCCCCAGTAGCTGAGATTACACCCCACTAATTTTCTTCTTCTTAGTAGAGATGGGGTTTCTCCGTGTTGTCCAGGCTGGTCTCGAACTTCTGACCTCAGGTGAGCCGTCCACCTCAGCCTTCCAAAGTGCTGGGATTACAGGCGTGAGCCGCTGCGCCCGGCCTAATTTGCCTTTTTTTTAGAGGCAAAGTTTCACCACGTTGCCCAGGCTGGCCTCGAACTCCTGTTCTTGAACCATCCTTCTGCTTTGGCCTCCCCAAATGCTAGGATGACGGGCGTGAGCACCATGCCCAGCCTTAACATGTCTCTAAAGTGCCCCCCACCACATTGCTGGCTGCAGGGACAACGTGCCGGTGACCTCTAGCACTTGTTTATCCTGAATAACTGAAACTGTCCGTGTTAAAGAGCAATTCCCCATTTCTCTCCCCTCCAACCCCTGATAACCCCCTTCTCCTCTCACAGCAGAACCTTTTAAGCTTTCTTTCCAGGCGAAGTTGCTTTGTCTTAGGACGCCCTCAGTTTCCTCATCGGTGGACTGGGGATTAAAATGGACCTGCTCCACAGCCTAGCGGGAAGGTGGTATGCTGACCCACGTCACCCCGGACCTGTGGGACGCCTGCCACCCTTTCTGTCTGCCTGAGTCTTGATTTCTGCATCTCTATCCAGGGACGAGGAGGCTGGACCCTCAACAGTGCTGGCTACCTTCTGGGTCCCGGTGAGTGAGGCTGCTCTCAGCTCGCCATCCCTGGCCTGAGTCTGCCTGGTTGCTGCAGGCAGTGAGTTTGTGGTTTGTAAAGACCCTTACCCACATTCACTGAGACCCATGGGTTTATCTGCAGACCTGTCTCGAGGGTGAGTCTAGGCGGAGTGATGGGTGTGTGAACTTGAACCACAGTCTTGGGTGCAAATCCCAGCTCTGCTTGGTTTGCAACCTTCATCTCTCTCTCTCTCTCTCTCTTTTTCTGACAGAGTCTCACTCTGTCGCCCAGGCTGGAGTTCAATGGTACAATCTTGGCTCACTGCAACTTCCGTCTCCTGAGTTCAAGCAGCTCTCCTCCCTCAGCCTCCTGAGTAGCTGGGATTACAGGTGTCTGCCAACCCATGCCTGGCTTTTTTTTTTTTTTTTTTTTTTTTTTTTTTTTTTGTATCTTTAGTAGAGATGGAGGTTTCATCATGTTGGTCAGGCTGGTCTTGAACTCCTGACCTTGTGATCTGCCTACCTTGGCCTCCCAAAGTGCTGGGATTACAGGCATGAGCCACTGCGCCCAGCTGCAGCCTTGATCTCTCCGTGCCTCCGTTTCCCATCTGTGACAGTGGTATAACGTTGGCCCTTGCATCCTAGAGTGTTACAAGGATTGAGTTATTAACAGAACAACAGCTGGTGTGTCGCAGGTACCGTGCAACGATGAGCTGCTATGCTTTTTTCTCTTTTCCTCCATTCGTCTCTCCCCATCTCCCCGCTTGCATCTTCCCCGGGCACTAGACCATGGCTGACTGGTGAGCATTAAATCCGTAAAAGACCGAGCTTCCCGTGGTGCTCAAGGTAGGTTTCAGCTTGAGCTTCATGCAGGGAAAACCCCGGCTCCAGAGACAGTGCGGCAGAGCAGAAGAACGTGGAGCCAGAGGCGGGTTCAAACCCGGCGCTGCCGTTAGCAGCAGCGTGATTTTCAGCGAGTGACCCCCCTCTCAGCCGCACCATTTCCCCACGGGTAGCTGGGGCAGTCAGCAGGCAGCCCGTCCTACAGCCTTGGTGGCCGCGCTGAGTCCGGGGAGCCGTGCTGCGGCATCGCTGGATCGCTACTTCACCGACCGCCTGCTCTTGCTCTCTCCTCCCCGATCCAGTCCTCCACCTTCCCCAGACGGGTGACCAAGACCGGGAGAGGGAGGCCGCCCTGGAGATCCTGGACCTATGGAAGGCCATCGGTGAGTGAACGGGGACGCAGACGTCTTCTCCGGCGTCCTTCTCTGCTGGCTCTCTACTGGCTTTGGAAACGGGTGCATGGGAGCCCCGGCCCTCGCCCTGTCACTTGCTATGTGGGGAAGCTCAGCAGGTGATGCCTCTCCTTCACACTTCTGTGCCGTCACCTGGAGCCCGAGCGTAGTTTAATGCCCTTCTGTCACCAACTTGAAAGTCTGAATCGTTTCTGAGCCACGGGCCCCACACTTCCTCTTTGCATTAGGCCTCGCCAAATTCCTCCGATTTGAAATGTATAAACAGAATAACCCCGGGGTTTAGTTGTATGACTCGGTGAGAAAATGCACATGCGTTTCCTGGAAGTGTCTGACGTATGGGAGAAAGGAAGTGGGTTGGCTGGACGCGGTGGCTCACGCCTCTAATCCCAGCACGTTGGGAGGCCACGGCAGGTAGATCACCTGAGTCAGGAGTTCAAAACCAGCCTGGCCAACATGGTGGAACACCGTCTACTAAAAATACAAGTATCAGCCGGGCGTGGTGACGGACACCTGTAATCGAGCTACTCAGGACGCTGAGGCAGGAGAATCACTTGAACCCGGGACATGGAGGTTGCAGTGAGCCAAGGTGGAGCCATTGCACTCCAGCCTGGGTGACACAGAGAGGCTCCATCTCAAAAAAGAAAGAGAAAAAGAAAAAGAAATGAATTGGGTCATGGCTGTTAGAATCAATACTGATCCTGGCAATCTCCCTGTCCGCCATGTCTCTTCCTATCTCTAGTCCCATTATCCTGTCTTCTCAGGTGACCAAATTCTCTTTCTGGGGTGCTCCTCTCCTTCCCATTCTACATCTCGAAGGACCGAATTGCAGAGTTCGGAGGGGTGTGGACACTTGAATGTGCACACTGTGAAGGCCACACGTGGCTTCAACTAAGCCTCCCCATCCTTGTCCCCAACACCGGTGGGAAATGAAGAGAGTTGAGGGCATGGCTTCTCCACTCGGGCACAACTGGTGTTTGGGGCTGGATAATTCTCTGGCATGGGGCCAGTCCTGTGCATTACAGGATGTTTACAGTGTCTGTGGGTTCTACTCCTAACACACTGGTCACAGTCCTTCTTCCCAAGTTGGTTTGGTTTTTTTTTTTTTTTTTTTTTTTGGAGACAGAGTCTCTCTCTGTTTGTTCAGGCTGGAGTGCAGCGGCACGATCTCGGCTCCCTGCAAACTCTGCCTCCTGGGTTCAAGTGATTCTCCTGCCTCCGACTCCTGAGTAGCTGGGATCACAGGCATCCACCACCACGCCTGGCTAATTTTGTATTTTTAGTAGAGATGGGGTTTCACCGTGTGGGCCAGGCTGGTCTCGAACCACTAACCTTAGGTGATCCGCCCGCCTTCGCCTCCCAAAGTGCTGGGATTACAAGTGTGAGCCACTGCACCTGGCCTTACATGTGCAGGTTTTGTTATATAGGAAAACGTGTGTCCTGGGGGTTTGTTGTACAGATTATTGCATCACCCGGGTACTAAGCCGAGTGTGCAGTCGGCTCTTTCCTGCTCCTCTCTCTCCTCGCCTCACCCCCATCAGGTGGGCCCAGTGTCTGTTGCTCCCTCTGCATGTCCGTGCGTTCTCCTCATTTAGCGCCCACTGAGGAGTGAGAACGTGACTGCTGTGTTTGTGTTTGTAGACCGGCTTCCCTATGCCCGCCCTCAGCAGGTCTCCAGCAGGAGTCGGATGCAGACGTTCGCCCAGCCAGAGACTGGAGGGAAAGCCAGGAAACGCGGAGGAGAGAGGGAGACAGCAGAAGCGGACCCAGGACGGGCAGGCAGGGCTTGGAGGGGAAAGGAAAGAAGCGGGGGGACCGGGAGGCAGCCAGGGACCTCCTCAGTATAACCACAGCCTCCACCCGGTCCGCCCACGGTCACGCACAGCCCTACCGGTCAGCTCACCGTCACACACGGCCCCTACCCGGTCCGCTCACCCTCACACGCATCCCCTACCTGGTCCGGTCACCATCACACAAGGCCCCTACCCGGTCCGCTCACTGTCACACACAGCCTCTACCTGGTCCGCTCACCCTCACACACATACCGTACCCCGTCCCCTCACCGTCACACACGGCCCCTACCCCGTCCACTCACCCTCAGACAGACCCTACCCCGTCCACTCACCCTCACACACAGCCATACACTGTACACTCACCCTAACAAACAGCCCCTACCCCGTCCACTGACGCTCACACACAGCCCCTACCCCGTCCACTCACACTGACACACAGACCCTGCCCCGTCCACTCACCCTCACATACAGACCCTACCCGTCCACTCACCCTCACACACAGACCCTACCCCGTCCACTCACCCTCACACACAGACCCTACCCCGTCCACTCACCCTCACACGCATCCCCTTCCCTGTCCCCTCACCATCACACACAGACCCTACCCCGTCCACTCACCCTCACGTAAGGCCCCTACCCCGTCCACTCACCCTCACACGCATGCCCTACCCTGTCCACTCATCCGGACACACAGACACTTCCCCGTCCACTCAACCCTCACACAAGGCCCCTACCCCATCCACTCACCCTCACACACATCCCCTTCCCCGTCCACTCAACCTCACACGCATGCCCTACCCTGTCCACTCACCCTCACACACAGACCCTACCCCGTCCACTCACCCTCACACACAGACCCTACCCCGTCCACTCACACTCACACACAGACCCTACCCTTCCACTCACCATCACATGCATCCCCTACCCAGTCCACACAGCCTCACACACAGATACTACCCCGTCCACTCACCCTCAGACAAGGCCCCTACCCCGTCCACTCACCCTCACACACAGACCCTACCTCGTTCACTCACCCTCAAACACAGACCCTACCCCGTCGACTCACCCTCACACACAGACCCTACCCCGTCCACTCATCCTCACATACAGGCACTACCCCATCCACTCACCCACACACACAGACCCTACCCCGTCCAATCACCCTCACACGCATCCCCTACCCTGTCCACACACCCTCACACAGAAACTCTACCCATCCACTCATCCTCACACACAGACCCTTCCCCATCCATTCACCCTCACACAAGGCCCCTACCCTGTCCACTCACACTCACACACAGACCCTACCCTGTCCACTCACCCTCACATGCATCCCCTACCCCGTCCACTCACCCTCACACGCATCCCCTACCCCGTCCACTCACCCTCACACGCATCCACTACCCTGTCTACCATTCCTCACACACAGACACTTCCCCGTCCACTCACCCTCACACAAGGCCCCTACCCCGTCCACTTACCCTCACACACAGCCCTACCCCACCCACTCACCCTCACACACAGACTCCACCCCATCCACTCACCCTCACACACAGACCCTACCCCGTCCACTCACCCTAACACACAGACCATACCCCGTCCACTCACGCTCTCACACAGACCCTACCCTTCCACTCACCATCACACGCATCCCCTACCCCGTCCACTCACGCTCACACGCATTCCCTACCCCATCCACACACCCTCACACACAGATCCTACCCCGTCGACTCACCCTCAGACAAGGCCCATACTCCGTCCACTCACCCTCACACACAGACCCTACCTCATCCACTCACCCTCACACACAGACCCTACCCCGTCCACTCACCCTCACATACAGACCCTACCGCGTCCACTCACCCTCACACACAGACTCTACCCCGTCCACTCACCCTCACACGCATCCCCTACCCCATCCACTCACCATCACATGCATCCCCTACCGCATCCACTCACCCTGACAAACAGACCCTAACCCATAGACTCACCGTCACACTCAGACCTTACCCCGTCCACTCACCCTCACACACAGACCCTACCCCATCCACTCACCCTCACACAGAGACCCTACCAGGTCCACTCACCCTCACACACAGCCCTACCGCGTCCACTCACCCTCACACAAGGCCCCTACCCCATCCAATCACCCTCACACACATCCCCTACACCGTCCACTCACCCTTACACACAGACCCTACCCCGTCCACTCACCCTCACACACAGCCCTACCCTGTCCACTCACCCTAACACAAGGCCCTACCCCGTCCACTCACCCTCACACGCATCCCCTACCCCGTCCACTCCCCTCATGCACAGACCCTACCCCGTCCACTCACCCTCACACACATCCCCTACGCCGTCCACTAACCCTCACACACAGAACCTACCTCGTCCACTCACCCTGACCCACAGACCCTACCGCATCCACTGACCCTCACACACATCCCCTACCCCCTCCACACACCCTCACAAACATCTTGTACCCCGTCCAATCACCATCACACACAGCCTTACCCCGTCGACTCACCATCACACACAGCCCCTACCCCGTCCACTTACCCTCACACGCATCCCCTACCCTGTCCAATCTCCCTCACACACAGACCCTACGCCGTCCACTGACCCTCACACACAGCCAGAGCCCGTCCACTCACCCTCACACGGATCCCGTACCCCGTCCACTCACCCTCACACACAGACCCTACCCCGTACACTCACCCTCACACACAGACCCTACCCTGTCGACTCACCCTCACACGCATCCCCTACACTGTCCACTCACCTTCACACGCATCCCCTACCTTGTCAATTCACCCTTACACTCAGTCCCTACCCCGTCCACTCACTGTCACACGCAGACCCTACCCCGTCCACTCAGCCTCACACAAGGCCCCTACCCCGTCCACTCACCCTCGAACACAGCCCTACCCCATCCACTCACCCTCAGACACAGACCCTACCCCGTCCACTCACCCTCACACACAGACCCTAGCCTGTGCAATCACCCTAACATGCATTCCCTACCCCGTTCACTCACCCTCACATATGGCTCCTACCCCTTCCACTCACCCTCACACACATCCCCAACCCCGTCCACTCACCCTGACACATGGACCCTACCCCGTGCACTCACCCTCACACACATCCATTACCCCATGCACTCACCCTCACACAAGGCCCGTACCTCGTTTCCCACATGCATCCCCTACCCCGTCCACTCACCCTCACACACAGAACCTATCCCGTCCACTCACCCTCACACACAGAGCCTACCCCGTCCACTCACCCTCACACGCATCTTCTACCCTGTCCACTCACCCTCACACACAGCCCTACCCCCCACTCACCCTCACACGCATCCCCTACCCTGTCCACTGACCCTCACACGCAGCCCCTACCCGGTCCGCTTACCCTCACACATAGAGCCTACCCCGTCCAGTCACCGTCACACACAGCCCTACCCCATCAACTCACCCTCACACACATCCCCTACCCCGTCCACTCACCCTCGCACACAGCCCTACCCCGTCCATTCACCCTCACACGCATCGCCTACCCGGTCTGCTGACCCTCACACACAGACCCTACCCCATCCACTCACCCTCACACACATCTCGTACCCCATCCACTCACCCTCACAGGCATCCCCTACCCCGTCCACTCACCCTCACACGCATCCCCTACCCTGTCCACTCATCCTCACACACAGACCCTTCCCCGTCCACTCACCCTCACACACAGCCGTACCCCATCCACTTACCCTCACACACAGACCCTACCCCGTCCACTCACCCTCACACACAGACCCTGCCCCGTCCACTCACCCTCACACAGACCATACCCCATCCACTCATGCTCACACACAGACCCTACCCTTCCACTCACCATCACACGCATCCTCTACCCCGTCCACTCACCGTCACACACAGATCCTACCCCGTCCACTCACCCTCAGACAAGTCCCCTACCCCGTCCACTCACCCTCACACGCATCCCCTACCTCGTCCACTCACCCTCACACACAGATCCTACCCCGTCCACTCACCCTCAGACAAGTCCCCTACCCCGTCCACTCACCCTCACAAACAGACCCTACCTCGTCCACTCACCCTCACACACAGACCCTACCCCGTCCACTCACCCTCACACACAGACCCTACCTCGTCCACTCACCGTCACACACAGATCCTACCCCGTCCACTCACCCTCAGACAAGTCCCCTACCCCGTCCACTCACCCTCACAAACAGACCCTACCTCGTCCACTCACCCTCACACACAGACCCTACCCCGTCCACTCACCCTCACACGCATCACCTACCCCATCCACTAACCCTGACAAACAGACCCTACCCCGTAGACTCACCCTCACACACAGACACTACCCCATCCACTCACGCTCACACAGAGACCCTACCCCGTTCACTCACCCTCACACACAGCCCTACCGTGTCCACTCACCCTCACTCAAGGACCCTACCCCGTCCAATCACCCTCACACACTTCCCCTACCCCGTCCACTCACCATCACACACAGACCCTACCCCGTCCACTAACCCTCACACACAGCCCTACCCCGTCCACTCATCCGAAACTGAATCCCCATCCTGGCCCGACTGCTCCCTTCAACTCTGTTCCTTCACCTCCGTTCCCGCCTCCTGGTCCAGCTCTCACCTCCCAGTCTCTATCCAGCACTTCCACAGTTAGGACATCACACCCAGCCTTGATCTTCTCCAGTGTCACCCCCAAGCTTAGCCTTAGCTATGACATCAACCTCAAACCCCACACTTTGACCTCATGGTTCACTTCCAACACCAAGCTCTCTCCTAAATAAGACCTTCATTTCCTGCATTGTCTTTTTTTTTTTTTTTTTTTTTTTTTAATGTGGAGTCTTACTCTGTCACCCAGGCTGGCATGAAGTGGCATGACCTTGGCTCACTGCAACTTCTGCTTCCTGGATTCAAGCGACTCTCCTGCCTCAGCCTCCTGAGTATCTGGAATTATGTGCACCTCCCGCCACACCTGGCTAATTTTTGTATTTTTAGTCGAGATGGGGTTTCGCCATGTTGGCCAATCTCAAACTCCTGACTTCATAATCCACTTGCCTTGGCCTCCAAAAGTTCAGGGATTACAGGCATGAGCCACTGCTCCTGGCCTATATGAGTGGGGACCTTTGTATTGTTCACTGCCTAGCACAATGCATGACACATAGTAGGTACTTCGTGAATATTTGTTAAATGAATGAATTAAATTATCCAAACACAGCCTTCAGCTGCCCTGTTCCCACCCAGTCATGAGCTCAGCAGAGGCCCCAACCACTGCTTTTCCAGGTTTCCTTTAGTTGGGCTTTCACCCCAATCCCATCTCCTTCTTCAACCCTAACCCAATTCTTGGAAACACTATGTCCTTATTTCAGCTCCAGTAATTGATTTCAAAAGCAGGTACTGAGCAATGCTGGATATAATACACTCCCTGAATGCACTAATTTCCACCTCACCTCAAGTACATTCTGACTCTTGGAAACACCCACCACCACCTTCTTAAAATGGGGACGGAAAGAGAAGATATGTGGGTAGATGAAAGTAAAGGAAAGGGCCAGGTGCAGTGGCTCAGGCCTGTAATCCCAGCGCTTTGGGGGGCTGAGGCGGTTGGTTCACCTGAGGTCAGGAGTTCAAGACCAGCCCGGCCAACATGGTGAGAGCCCATCTCTACTAAAAATACAAAAATTAGCCAGGTGCGTTGGCTCACGCCTGTAAGTCCAGCACTTTGGGAGGCCGAGGCGGGTGGATCACAAAGTCAGGAGTTCAAGACCATCCTGGCCAACGTGGTGAAACCCTGTCTCCACTAAAAATACAAAAATTAGCCGGATGTGGTGGGCGCCTGTAATCCCAGCTACTTGGGAGTCTGAGGCAGGAGAATCGCTTGAAACCGGGAGGTGGAGGTTGCAGTGAGCCGAGATCACGACACTGCATGACAGCCTGGCAACAGAGTGAGACTCCATCTCAAAAAATAAATAAATAAATAAATTAGCAGGGTGTGATGGCAGGCGCCTGTATTGTTAACTATTTGACAGGCTGATGTGGGAGAATCACGCCGAGATCATGCCACTGCACTGCAGCCTGGTGAAAGAGCAAGACTCCACGTAAAAATAAAAATAAATAAACAAATAGGAAAAAGAAAGAGAGAGGGAAGAGAAGAGCCTGTCGGATCAGATGACCGAAAGAGATCTTCCTCTCCAGTTTCATTCCCAACCTCAAGAACCTGATTTGGGGAGCGATAGTGAGAAAAAACAAAGTTCACCTCCTTTTCTCCCACAGATCTGGGCATGCTCCGTGAGAACATTCCCCAGGAGGAGGGTGCCTGAAGTCACAGATAGCTACAAACCCCCGTTCCTGTCCTCCCTCTCCAGCTCCTTCTGTTCTCTCCAAAACCTTTTCTAGGTACCCCATGCGGAGACTGAGATCCTCAAGTTAAGTACTTGGGCCTCATGAAGACATTGGGAAGCCTTTGCCTTACTCTAAAAAATTTCTGGAGTGTCTTAGGTTTTATTGATTCATTCTTGGAATCCGTATAACGTGTTGTTAATGAACCAATAGTAATTTGAGGACTGTTTGGACGATTCTGGGGTAATAAGGGAATATTCCTGCAACACATTTAAAGTAATTGTGTTCTTTCAAATCATTCTAATTATAACATGAGCTATTGAATAATACAAATAACCCTCTTAAGAAGGCGTCCCCAAACTTTTTACACAGGGGGCCAGTTCACTGTCCCTCAGACCGTTGGAGGGCCGCCACACACTGTGCTCCTCTCACTGACCACCAATGAAAGAGGTGCCCCTTCCTGAAGTGTGGCGGGGGGGCGGATAAATGGCCTCAGGGGGCCGCATGCGGCCTGCCAGCCATAGTTTGGGGACGTCTGCTCTTAAGTCTGAGAGTCTATGTCTTGACTTGAAAACATTCTTCAAAGTAGCATACTTTTATCCATGTGAGTCTCCTCCAGAAATAAAGAGAGGCAGTTTGAAGCAGAATGGAGAGAATAAAATATCTCTTGTCAAGTCGTCTGTTTGTTTCCTTTTAATTAGTCTGGGAATTTTGTTTTCTTTTATTCTTTTTTTTTTTTTTTTTTTTTTTTTGAGACGGAGTTTCACTCCTGTTACCCAGGCTGGAGTGCAATGGCACGAACTCGGCTCACCGCAACCTCCGCCTCCTGGGTTCAGGCAATTCTCCTGCCTCAGCCTCCTGAGTAGCTGGGATTACAGGCACGCGCCACCATGCCCAGCTAATTTTTTGTATTTTTAGTAGAGACGGGGTTTCACCATGTTGACCAGGATGGTCTCGATCTCTTGACCTTGTGATCCACCCGCCTCGGCCTCCCAAAGTGCTGGGATTACAGGCTTGAGCCACCGCGCCCAGCCCTTTTTTTTTTTTTTTTTTTGAGACAGAGTCTCACTCCGCCACCCAGGTTCAACGATTCTCCTGCCTCAGCTTCCCGAGTAGCTGGGACTATACGCATAGTCTGGGAATTTTTTTTAGGGGTAGCAAAATCCAGGATGACAGAGTCAGGTGTGGGACTGGGAAAATACAACTTATTGGAGGGAATAGATTTTGGATTATTGTTCTACTGAAAGTTTTACTTTCATTTTGGGTTTGAGGATTCACAGGCAAAAGAAACCACAATGCTACACTCAAACGCAGTTAAAAGAAAAGTTTAGCCAGACACGGTGGCTCACGCCTGTAATCCCAGCACTATGGGAGGCCAAGGTGGGCGGCTCATGAGGTCAGGAGTTAGAAACCAGCCTGGCCAACAAGGTGAAACCCCGTCTCTACTAAAAATACAAAAATTAGTTGGGCGTGGTGGTGGGCGCCTGCAATCCCAGCTACTCAGGAGGCTGAGGCAGGAGAATCATTTCAACCTGGCAGGCAGAGGTTGCAGTGAGCTGAGATGGCACCATTGTACTCAGCCTGGGTGACCAAAAAAAAAAATTTAATGATCAAAACTTTGCAGAAGAGTATAATGGTTAACTTAGCAAAGGCTAACGCAGGAGAACACACACGCACACACACGTATGTACATCCCACTTCACTCAGAGCAAGAGCCACAGTCCTCAGGATGTACTCACAGACTCATTCCATAGGGACCTGCCTCCCTGCCTCTCTTGCCTCCTCTCCCAGCTGCTCTTTGCTGGCTGGGTTCAAGTTTGTACTGAACTTGTGCGGATCTCTGAAGACCTGCCCCCAGCCTGGCACCTGTGCCACCCCTCCCTCTCCCTGAACCCTCTTCTTCCAAATGCTTTTATGGCTCAAGTTCTTTCTCCTTCAGTTCCTTATTCAGATTTGTTTTTTTCTTTACACCACCCCCAACCAACACGCTGAAAATTCCACGCGCCTAGCCCTCCTAGCCCTCATCCGTCTCTGCTTTCATTTCTCTCCATAACATTTAACACCATGTGACATACTATCTATCTTAACGCTTTCTTTTTTTGAGATGGAGTCTCGCTTTGTCTCCCAGGCTGGAGTGCAGTGGTGCAATCTGGGGTCACTGCAACCTCCGCCTCCTGGATTCAAGTGTTCAAGTCATTCTCCTGCCCCAGATTCCTGAGTAGCTGGGATTACAGGTAACTGCCACCAGGCCTGGCTAATTTCTGTATTTTTAGTAGACACAGGGTTTCACCATATTGGCCAGGCTGGTCTCGAACTCCTAACCTCAAGTGATCTGCCTGCCTCAGCCTCCCAAAGTGCTGGGATTACAGGCGTGAGCCACTGCATCCGGCCAAAGACTTTTATTATTTTTTCTTTTTTCATGACTACTTCTGTGCCAGACTTTTCTTAAAAGAATGGGATGTCCTGCCTCCTGGTTCCCTTTGCAGTGCCTTCCTGCCAGCCCTGGCTGCCTCTGTGGCTGCTGTTGAGGCTGGCATAGGCTTTATCTTGTTGACATCACTGTATTTCAGGGCTCTTTGTTATATCAGCTTAGCCTGTAGGAATGTTCCAGATAATGAGGTGGAGGCCCCGAGCTTCCGGTCAGTTTACCTGGCAGCCATCATTCCTGAGAGGCCATCTGCAAACAATCCAGTAAGCTGTCCCAGTTGAACCCAGCCTCCTAGCCAGAGCCAGCAAGACACCAGGCATGTGAGTGAAGCTACCTTGGACCCTCCAAATCAGTCCGCCCACCAGCTGAATACTGCTGGTGGCCTCTGTCAAAAGTCACATGGAACAGAAGACTTGTGCAACCAAGCGCTGCCTGAATTCCTGACCTGCAAACTCATGATATGTAATAAAATTGTTGTTTAAAGCCAGTTAGGCAGCAACAGAGTCCTCAAATAGGCATTGCTGGGCCGGGCATGGTGGCTCATGCCTGTATTCTCAGCACTTTGGGAGGCTGAGGCGGGCAGATCACCTGAGGTCAGGAGTTCAAGATCAGCCTGGCCAACATGATGAAACCCAATCTGGAAAAAAAAAAAAAAAAAGGCATTGCTAATATCAAACAGAAGATAACCTAAAGCAAAAGGCATTAATGGGGAAAAAAGGGAGGTTTTTCATTATTCATACAAAATAATGGAAAAGTTCCACCAGGAATTTTTGGGGTGTGTGTGTGTGTGTGTGTGTGTGTGTGTGATTGTTGTTTTGTTTTTTGTTTGTTTGTTTGAGATGGAGTCTCATTCTGTCACCCAGGCTGGAGTGCCACAATGTGATCTTGGCTCACTGCAACCTCTACATCCCAGATTCAAGTGATTCTCCTGCCTCAGTCTCTCAAGGAGCTGAGCTTATAGGCGCCCACCACCATGCCTGGCTGTTGTTTGTATTTTTAGTAGAGATGGGGTTTCACCCTGTTGGCCAGGCTGGTCTTAAACTCCTGACCTCAATGGAACCACCTGCCTCGGTCTCCCAAAGTGCTGGGATTACAGGTGTGAGTGAGCATGCTCAACCTCCATCAGGAATTTATAACACTTATGAACTTAAATGATGCTAACAACAATAGCTTTAAAATATGTTAAAAAAAAAAAAAAAAAAGAACAAAGATCAAAATGAATGAACTAATGAACAGAGAACAGCTCAGATATCCAGAAATTAGAATTAAGGACCCTCTCATCAGGTAACTAGAGGAATTTAAAATTGTATTAGTCTTGTTCAGGCTTCAGGAGGAATGGTAGGCCTCTGACCAACAAATGATCCCATGTGGGATACGTGGCTAATGGAAAGTAAGCACCCACCAGTCCTGAGCAACTTCAGGTCGGAAAGGGAGTGTGCTAGGGAACTTCTCAGACCTTGGGAATCTGGCCAGTTCTCTAGGTTTCAGAACGTCCTGAGACATACAAAGCAAAAGCTTAAGCGTTTTGAATAAACCTTTAGAGCTGCGTATTCGCACATGGCTGATAACTTCAGCTAGTGGCTTAATAATAAGCTGGGACCCTCCGACTGCTCTCTGAAGTATCACCCGTGGAGGGCATACACTGCCAAGGACCCGTTCCAACTGGGATTCCAGAAGGCTGTTTCCAGGACTTCCCAGCACTGCTTGATCTGGATGTAGGTATTCTCCCCAGCTTGGTTAATACACATGTATGTAGCCTGGGAGCGGTGGCTCATGCCTGTAATCCCAGCAGGCGTGATGATGTGGGGATGTGGGGATCACAAGGTCAGGGGTTCAAGACCAGCCTGGCCAACATGGTGAAACCCCCGTGTCTACTAAAAATACAAAAATTAGCCGGCTGTGGTGTGAGGCACCTGTAATCCCTGCTACTCAGGAGGCTGAGGCAGGAGAATCACTTGAACCCAGGAGGTGTAGTGAGCAGAGATCGCACCACTGCATTCCAGCCTGGGTGACGGAGCAAGACTCTGATTCAGATATACATCCTGTGGAATCCTGACCTACAGTCTTGCACCTCGTTTCTCCTGGGTTTGCCATATGAATACGACAATGCTGTAATTCTATGCCCATGCTGCACCTCCTCTGAACTCCGTCCCTGCACGTCCAGTTCCTGCCTCTCTGTCTCTAGTCACATAGCTGATAAGGATGTCCAAACTTAACATGTCCAGAACTGAGATCCTGGTCTTTCTCCACAACCTACCCTGGGTATGGTTTCCTATATCCTTCAGTGGAGGCTTCACCCTTCCTTTTGCTTAGACCCAAAACCAGGCCCTTGTCCTTGCCTGTTTTCTCAAATCACACAGCAAGTCCGCTGGGGAATCCCATTAGCTCTGCCTTCCATACATCCAGAATGCGACCAGTTCTCACCACCTCTCTGCTTCCACCCTGGTCCGGGCCTCCATCACCTCTCCCCCGGATTAGGGCATTCTAAGTGGTCTCTGCCCTCTTTAGTCGCTTATCAGAACTGAAGCTGGGCCAGGCACGGTGGCTCATCCC